CAGACCACCCCCGTGGGCTGCCTCTGGCCTGGCCAGAGCACGCCCGTGTGCGTGCTCAGAATGGCCCGCCGGCCGGGCTGGGGCGCTTGCTGATCTGCGCTGTGACAGCACGGTGGGCAGTGCAGACCTCTCCTGACTGAGCCAGGGGCTGGGAGGAGAAAGGCCGTGAGGAGCGCCTCAGCCCCCAGCCCCCTCTCTCTTTCCGCAGTGTCTGTTTCCCGCCAGTATCTACCATCTGCAATATTGACTGGTTTATCAGGCAGCAGGTACCTCGATCAGTCTATCTGGAATTGTCATCCAACAGAAGATTAAGCGCTGCTGGTTCCTCCTTGTGATTTTTAGTCTTCACATCACAAAGTTTCCCATCACATTTCAGCGGTGTGCATCTGGCTTACAGGACTCGGAGCACTTATCTTCCCGAAGCAGGGATTTAGGCCGTGTTTCCTCCTATAGGCCGCGGTATCTCACTGCAAACCTTTCACGTTCAGGGTGTGAGCTGGTTCCCAGATCTGGCCTCTCCCCCGCCCTCCCTCGCTCCCTTGCATCTCCTGTGCTAACTAGGCTTCAGGCCCAACAACGACCGACAGACTCCACGTGACGGACAGGTGCCAGCGCTCAGAGAAGTCGTTCCCGTGCGGCGACCTCGTGCTGTTTGTTCCTAAGATGAAAGACCCACAAGTAGCTGCTGAATGGCTTTCGGCTCCTCATTAATAACCGGCAGAAGGCCTTGGTCGCCATGCTGCTTCGACTTGAGAACAAGGCAGAACAGAAGGGCATGTCTGCTGCCTGCGCCTCCTGTCGCACCATCGGATTCCTGTGGCGGATCTTAGGAAGTCACGTCGCCTCCGCTCAGAGCTCCAGTAAGGGCGTGTCACTCCAACCTGCATCTCCCCGCCCTGTGCCTCTCCGATGCTGGCTTCCTGGTAGACTAATGGGATCCTGGGTGCACAGAAGCCAGAGGGAAGGAGCTTGGGGATGGCAGGCAGCTGGGAGCCCCGCCCGCTGGGAACTGGGATGTCGCACTGCCACCAAGCACCGGTGTAGCCATGCGAGGGACTGAAGCATGCACAAGCCAGGCCCTGGGGTTAGATGATCTCGTTACGTGTCGGCTCGGGAGACAAAGCCCGTGAGGTGGTGGGTGGATGGCGAGTGGTTGGAGGGTCTGGAGCAGCCCAGATTGGAAGTGGAAGAACTTGTGCAATGGCCCCGCCAGGATGCGGGACGTCAGCTTTGTGATGTCTAGTTTTGGCGTCTGATGAGCTTTGTGGTGTGCCCGCCGTCACCTACGGTTGAGGGCATGTGCAGAGCAGCTCACAGCACTGCAGAGCAGACTCCCCGGCTGCCCAGATTACCTCTGGGACAGGGGAATAGGGGCAAGCTGGAATGATGGCCTGACAGCCATCCCTGGGGGTACCTGGAGGTCAGGCTGGGTGTCTGTCACCTGGACTGTGGCTAGACTGCTGCTCACCTTGTTCCGTGACGGGCTCCGCTGTTTTCTTGGGGTTGGGATCCTGCCGAAGCAGGAGGTCAGCCTCAGTCAAGGGAATCGAGAGACAGATCGGTGTTGCGAGTGATTCCAATGCGCCTTCTGCATTTGTAGCATGGTCACTCCTCAGAGATGGAGATGCGCCCGGGTTGCCTCCTGCGCAGGATTGCTGTGGTTTGCTGAGTCTACACTGGGAGGAGACAGTGTCCCTCCTCCCGCACTGGGACCAGGAAGTCCCCTACAGCCTGAGGCCTTGAGGCAGGCTTGCAGAAGTGGGACTGGCGTTGACAATGCACTTTGTGATGTCACGAGCAGGTGTGGGGTCAGCTGGAGGTCAGCCTCAGTCAAGGGCCAAGCAAGTGTCAGTTGTGCAGAAGGTGCCCACGTGTTTCTTTCAAGCCAACACCATTGTCTACACCAGAATCGAGAGACAGATCGGTGTTGCGAGTGATTCCAATGCGCCTTCTGCAATGCCCACAATGTTTAAAAGCCTAGCATTTAGAATTCTCGGGCTGGGTCACCTCCGAGGGCTGGGCCATCTCTGATCTCCACGGAAGTTGTGTCAGGTTCATGCTGCGAGCATTTCCAGGGCCGTGAGGAGTTCACAGCTGGGCAGGACAAGCAGGCCCAGGGGCTTCTGTGTAGACTGAAGTGAGGTTCCCGCGCTCCTTCCCCTCGTGGTGAGGCCACTCCCGGGGCTGGAGCGGGGCCGAGGCTGAGGTCCCCGCTCGGCGAGCCTGCCCCTTCCTCTTGAATCCCTGCAGAGCTCCGAGCGAGCAGCAGCTGCATCTTCATGAATCTGTTTTCTAAACAGGCAAATATCCGGAAGTGGCCACATGACTGGGAAGAGGGCGCTGGGTGTCCCATGCTTCGCTAAACTAGATACAGAGCCAGTACTTGAATTGTGTTGTTACGGATTCCTCGTCTCCCCCCTGCGAGTTCTGCGCGTATGCAGGAAGGCAGGTGGAAGTGCGGCGCGTGCTCTGTCCTGGCAGGCCGCTCTAGAACTCGCTCCTTCAGCAAGCTTTCTCCGTGTGAGGCTCTGGAGCTCTGAGAGCTCTGCTCTTCCTGCCCTCGAGGGCTTTACACGCTAAATTTGGGAGGCAGGGAACTGACGTGAACACAGAAGTCAATAAACGCTAAGGAGGATTTAAGTGTTTAGTGTATTTCGTAAAAATAGATCCACGAAAGGTTTCTCGTTTTCAGCATTGGGCTTGGGTCTTAGGGTTGAAGAGAAGCATGTGAGGAGGATGAGGAAAACGTGGGAGGAGTCAGGCGTTCTAGGACAGGAGCACGAGTTTCAGGTTTGCTTAATGCACATTTTTGCCTTGGCATACTAAACACACTGAGGAGAAGGATTCCTGTACTTGCCAAGTTTATCTGTTACCAAATCATCGAAGTTTCTCACAGCACGCCTAGGGGGCGCTACAGTTCGAGACTTCATTTTAAAAGCCTTTCAACACCGTCCTGTTCTGTGGCAATGTTATTTGACAAAACTCTATCAGGCGTGGGCCCTGCTAAACATTCAATTAACTCTACCTTGCCCAAACATGGATGACGTAGGTGAGCTGTTTCTTGGGTCACAAAGTGAAACTGATTAAAAAATAAAAGCTCAAGGATTTAAAAACTCATTTTAGCACCAAATGCAATAGCAGGCGAGGTCACTAGGAACGGGGCTCTCTCACCACGTGCTTTGGGGTACGATGCGTTGGAAGTCACCGACTTCAAGTCTTGTCCTTTTCACACTCTGCTAATTAGAGCTGGTGCTTTAAACACCCATGCAGCACCTCCGAGCCTGTGTTCCCAGAAACTCAGGTCTGCAGGTCGGATCACAGAGAGTCTACCCTGCCATCAGAGCTTTGTGAAAGCACTTGAGAAACCAAGCGAATCGTGGCCACCAAGCACAGCAGGTGTAACTACTATGTGAATTTTCGGGGATGACCATCCAGAGGTATTTTGTGAATCTACAGTGCTGAAACATGAGAAAACAGGTTTTGTATGAGATTTACTTCAAAAACTCTGTTTACCTAAGCTTGGTATGGCGCAAGTCGTAATGGCAGGGATGGAGAAAATCTAATGTGCTTCTTTTAGTCTTTTAGATTTGTAGGGTGTTAAATCTAGAATTTATCTCTCCAGAGCAGCATATGGGAATGAGATATGTAGATATGAAAAATAACACACACTTCCAGGATGTTTGTTGTAACAATGCTAATTCCCTCCTCAGTTGATTGGGACACTCTGATTTCATGAAAATGTCAGAGCAGGTGTATGGAAAACACATTATGGTGTCGAGGTGCGGGGAAACGATGTTCATTTGTGTATGGAAAGGCCGTGCCTCTGCCAAGATGAAACAGAACCCTCACTCAGCCGCCTGAGCCTTGGCACTGCAGCGCCAGAGACCGCGAGGGAGGCCCCAGCACGACGGGTGAAGTGACAACCACAGGGAACAAGATTTATTCCCTCCTTCCTGCCTTGAGGCTCCACAGAAAGAGAGGTAACACCAACTGAGGCATTAGAGTGTCATGCCCAAGCGTCCGGTCCTCCAGCAGCCATCCAGTGCCCAGGGGAAACCGAGGCAGGGAGGAGGAGGTAGCACAACTCAGAGGAGGAGCAGGGGTGGGGAGCTGGCGTTTGGCAGCCAGAGAGGATTAGCTTTGCAAGCCTCAGGTTCTTGCCTCGTGGTGAATTGATGTGTTTTTCTGGTGTGAAATGTCCTTGAGCCTTAAACATGTTCGACACCTAACTGACTCTGGGAGTCTGAATTTGCAGAACAAAGGTGAGCATTAATTCCCCTTCGGGTGTTAATTTGGCTTCATAAAACACTCCAGTAAAACTAACATTTAAACAGAACCCAGAATCCAAGAAGGAGCCAAAGATATGAAAGGAAAAATAATAATTCCAAGTGCTTTGAAATCTATAGCAATTTGCTTAAAGAAAGAAACTAGCCCTCTTTTTTTTTTTTTTGTTCCCCCACCCTTACATTTTCACAGTCCCTGTTCCCACTTCATTATTTAATACGGCTTGTCTGGGGTTGACCAGCAGTCTTAAGGAATGTCAAGTCTTCACTTTCCATTCAAGAAATAAGACCCTCCCAGGACCTTCTGAGTATTTCTGTTTTCCATCTAACGAGAATTACCGTGTGCTGCGTGGGAGCAGTACCCGCCTGGCTTTGGAAGGCCTGGGTTTTAGAGCTCGCTGGACTCTGACAGCGATGGACTTGCGTGACTTTGAGAAGTTACTTCTTGGGACCCCAGTTTTGTTTTGTTGTTGTTTTTTTTTTTTCAGTCTAAAGGTTTGGGGCGGGTTGGAGTGTTGGCCTGCATGACCCCGGGGCGCCTTCAGTTCCAGGGCCTTTGCTGAGGGCATGCCTCCTCTGGGAACCTTTAAGTGAATGGAGAGGCAATGAGAATTTGCAGTGGCAGCACCAGCCAGATTATTTACAAAAAAATAAAAATAAAAAAGGCGTGTTTGTGGGGACTGTTGGCTTCTGCAGCTCGCTCGGATGGTCGCCGTGATATCTGCAGAAGTGCCCCCAGATAGGCTTGGTGCCGTGGGGTCCGAGGAGGCTCCCAGGCGCCTTCCCCTGCACCTTCCCCCGCGCCTTCGAGAGGCTGGCCTGGCTGCGCAGAGGCTCTTGACACACACTGTTAGCCCAGCACTGTGCACGCCCACGTCCTCGCTCCCTTAGGCATTTCCTGGGGTGCTTCTCCTCTGTGTTTTGAGAGGTACTCATTCCAGATCCTCCCTTGGCCCCTCTTCTTCCTCCAGGGTGAGTGCCCCCGGAGGTTACGCCAGCACATTTCCTGCTGGCTGGTCTCCGTGTTCCTCCTTCCTCTGCAGGCCCCCCCCACCCCAGGTGGAGCAGAAATGCCTTTCCGTACACCTGAGTGCAACATGAACTCATGGCGGATGTAGCAAGTCTCTGCAATGAAAGGGCTCAAGGGCCCAGGGCCATTAAAAAGGTGCCGTTAGGGGAAGGCTGGGGTTTCCTAGG